TTGTCAACACAATACTGTCCATTTCAAATGCGACATCTTTCATAATTAACAATGGTTCTAGACTCCTTGATCATATATTCCACCGGCAGTCCCATTATAATAATTCGAATTAGTTTTCTTTTTCTTCCCAAATTTGATTACTTCCTCCTCCTACTCAAAACTAATTAATCAATAAATATAGAAATGCATGTACTCGTGAGCAACCTTAAGATAAAAGCTTTTAATCCAATATATATACGTGAAATTACTTTCTAATACGTACTATTATGCGAATATGATGATTTATTTTGAATTTTGTATTTAATAATAATGGTTAAAGATCTAGTTAAATGAAATTGGTGTTAATCTCTACTTCTCAAAACTTCAAAAGATGAAAAACGGTCCAGATACTCTGAATACATTAAAGAAAGATTGTTTTAAAACATAAAATAAATCAATTCGATTCCATGTATGACATTTAGGGTGTGTTTGGAATCACATATGGACCTTCAAATGGACTTCTCTACCGGTAAGAGGAGCTTTTTTTATTTGGGATATATATGTTTGGAATCACATTTTTGCAATCTGACTTTTGTCACTGAAATGGACTTATACAATAAATTCAAAGAAGTTGTTTTTATCCAATCTGACTTCTGTAAAAGTCAGATTAAAAAAAAAAATACTTCTTTACTGCTAATCCAAACACACCTTTAGATAAAAATGTACTTAGTATTTTGGCACCATGCATATTCGAAGTATAAGCTCGTTTATTTAATATTTTGAAAGCATATATGAAGTAGATTATTACCAATTAAGGCACTTCCACCAACTGTAGACGACTTTTTTTGAATCATACAATTAAGATTTTAGTTTATTCTGTCTTACAAGTGATTGAAAATGGTATTAATTAAGAGAAATTAAAATATTTTTTATGAATAACTAATTTAGTTAGTTTTTGAACCTGTATAAATTATTTATATTTAGGCTTACATTTAGGATTGGTAGGAGTATATACCAAATTGTAAATCAAGAGAAACTTTGAATAGCAAAGTTTACGCCATACCCAAAAAATCTTGATAGAATGTGGGGATACAAGGCACGCAGTAAGCAAAAGTTAAGTCAAAGGGACTGGCAACCACAAAATCAATTATCACTAAACATAAGATCATGCCCCATGGACTCATGGGTTATGTTCATAGGTTGCAAGTCGCAGTTTCCCCACTATGAGTTTCATGTGTACCATTTTTAATGGCAACGCGTGGCCACAGACACTGCTTTTTAATTACTGTGTGCCCAAACTCATAATTAGCCCCTTAACCATGAATAAACAAACTTAACCTTGTTTAAGGATAACCCATAATCTTTTTCTAGTGCTTTCTTATATATTATCTACCTTTCTATTTCCTTCTGTTGCATCATCATTACAATTAGGTAACTCTAATGTTATTTTCTTTTCAAGGGTCAAATACGCGTTATCATGAGGTACACTATGGTTAGCTCAACTAATTAGAATTTAGAACTCATCCACTCGCATAATTGCATTTTATATTAATTTTTTTTGGGAAGTATCTAGCCACATAATCACGTCCCACTCATATGCATTGATTAGAGATTAAGCAACTTTATTATATACTCCTCTGGTTCTTAATATAAAACCCAATTTTTGAGTTGGTTTTGGTCCTAAATATAAGAACCATTTCTCATATTTATCAATTTTCTCTAAATTACCCCTATAGATACTCCCTCAACTATAATCAAGTAGAAGAGGGAGAGGGATATTAAGAAATATAATTATGGTGTTTTAGGAAAAATGAGTCACTTTTCTTATAATTAACTAACTTATCTAACTTCTTTAATCTAATCAAGTTAGTTAAATGAGTCTTATATTAAGGACCGGAGGAGTATATACATTTCTTAGTTCCTTTAAAATAATGTGGATATATATATTGTTTAGTTTCATAGATTATATCAATTGTCACTTTGCCAAATAAGATGGCACATCAGCATCTGTATTATACTTTAAAAAAAACCATATTATATTGATTCAACGTTCGAGGAATAATATTGAAGGGACCCGACTAAACACTGAAAGTATACGATCTCTAACCATTCGTAATTAGGAGTATATATATATATATATATATATATATATGATTTCATTTTCGACAAATTGCTGGTCTAATTCGTTGAAATTGATATTTAATTGACTTTATTAGTTTATTATTATAATTTTCATTTAATATGTCCGTCGGCGTACTCACATTGTATTTGATTCACCAATAGTTTTGGTTGCTATATTTTTAAAGATAAAGTAGCGTCAGTTCACCAATCAAGTTGTATTAATATAATTTTTAGTATTTAAATTAAATATATATGTTTTTGTTATTACAATTAGATAAGATGTGTCCCGGGGTGAGAGTCTAGATTTTCTATTATAGACCATAATCTACGATATCTTACTTTTTGTTTTTTTTTCCAACGACATCTTACTATTTTACTTTTGCCAAAGTTCTTTATCTACGTCGCCGTTTTGGAATTAAGATTATTTAATTATGTTGTCATTATATATATGTGTGTGTCATCATCATCAACCATTCCTTTGAAAAATAAAAAGATTCAGGAGTCAATAGTTAATAATGTATAGTCAACTATGTATTTCAACAACATGCCACATGAATCCTTCCATTCCACGACTTTAGAATTGAATATGATATGTTTATTAAAAAAGAAAGAAGAAATGAATATGGATAGTTTATATTTAAAATTTGTTATTTTGAAAAAATTCAAATAATCTAAATATTTTTTAAAAAATTATGTTATGGACGATTTAAATCCCTAGTCTTCATCTACATCCCAACCTAGTCATTTTTATCATTTAAACTATTTCTTTACCGGCTTAATTAAATTGCTTTGAATATAATATGCACGCCCTGTGGTCTATATATATGCAAATCCCTGAAAATGTGTGGAGAATTGGTATGTTGGTATAACACACAACTTAATGTTGTCGTAAATTAATTTAATGATGGTGTGCATTTTGGCAACACGCGGGTCTTGTCCTAATTTAATTTGATTTTTTGTTTGGTTTGGTCATCAGATAGGATATCAATTATTCACACTACGATTAATTTAAGTTAGTTGTGCTGGGATTGATTAACTACGATTACAATGACATAAAAAATATCAGAGTATATTTTATTTTTTAAAAAAAATTGGAAAACAATTTTCCCCAGAAATACAAATTCAGACAATAAACAATAAAATCCAATATTCTGGGTCTGGAAGGAAGGCAGGCAGGGGCTTTGACAACTCAGGAGGTCACCTTATTAGAGATATCAAATAATTTATATTATGAATATTTCAGTCCCAAATAATCTAAAAATATTTAAATGTGCTCATGTTGCCCATAATATTGTAATATCATCCAGCAGGGGAGGTGAGCGGTGCATACTAATTGTACGGATTAAAAAAAAAAACTAAATTGTAGTAATCAAATGACGCGTACATCATCATGAATATTATATATTCAATTTCGTCAAAAATATTATATTCAACCTTGTCTCTGTACTTTGTATTTGTCTATTTTTGAATTTTAATTTCATCCATAAAATAAAATGAACTTATCTTTGTAATAATAATAATGATATCTACAATCTAATAAATCACAGCCATTCGAGTAATTATAGGCCTTGGACAACATCACTACTTTTCAAATTCGTATTCACTGGTTAAAAAATATTTGTATTGTAATAAAAAAGACGGTACTATGTTGTAAACAGTTACAGTTCTAGTATGTGAAAAATTTGAAAAAAAAATTTGTATAATTTATAAAATCTTACTTCGTGGTTTTAAATATGAGATATACTAAAGTGATTTATTTTCGTCCCAATGTAAGATACTCTTCTGATCCTTAATATAAGACATATTTAATTAATTTGATTAGATTAAGAAAGTTAGGTAAGTTAGCTAATTATAAGAAATGTGACACGTTTTCCCTAAAATACCATAATCATCTTTTTTAATACCCTCTCTTTCTCTTCTACTTGATTATGGTTGAGGGAGTATCTATAGCAGTAATTTAAAGAAAATTGATAAATATGAGAAATGAGTCTTGTATATAGAATCAAAACCAACTCAATAATTAAGTCCTGTATTAAGGACAAGAAGAGTATCATTTTATGGCAAAAAAGAATGTGAGATGTCCTTTTTTAATGTTTTATAAAAAAAAAAAAAAGCAACACGTATTTTTACGTGATAATATTGGCAAATAATTAATTTAATTTATTTCTATGAACTAATTAATGAGATCTTCCGCCAAGGATAGAGGAGTACAAATAGCGCCTCCAATGCAATTCATGAATTTATGTCAAATTATAACTCCCTTTCGTTTTTTTTTTTTAAATTTTTATGAACTCCAAATTTCTACTTTACCTAAAATTATTCATTGTAAAATCTTAAAACTATTCTCAATAGACGTCTGAGAAGATAAGTTGTTCAATTAAAAATATTTATAATTAGTTAAAAATACTACTTCCGGTTCTTATTATAAAACCTAATTAACTAATTTAGTAATTTGAAGAGATTAAAAAAATTAATTAAATTAGTTATTTATTATAAATAAGTGTTTTCTTTTGTAAAACACTCTTGTTAATCATGTATATTACCTAGAGTTATCATTTCATAAAGTCTTTTATATGTGTAACCACTTTAAGAACTATTTTAAAAAAAACAATAAATATAAAAATAAAATAGATTAGAATTTTATATTTAGAATTAAATTAAAAATTAAATGAATGTAGTATTAAACAGGAGGAGACATACAATATATTTTTTTTTCTGGGGAGTGAGAAGAAATAATTATTATTTTGTACCAGGTAAAGGTAACAGCTGCTTTACACTTTAAGAAAAGGCCCCCTACCAACGCACGTGCACGAAGATATGGGTGACCACCACTCCAGATTCGGGAGGCTCAGGCCCAAAAGCTTAAGCCCGTGCCTAATCAGATAAGGTGAGTTAACAACCAAACGATAAAACTTCTTCTCCTTCGGTCTTCGACCATCCATGATTCTCATTGCCATTGGACGGCGCTGCTGCCTGCTGGTGGAGTTATAGCCTGTAGCGTAGTCCACGCGGGACTTCTGGTCAATCCAACACGTGTCCCTCATTCCATCTGCAACTTGTGCCTTTTCGTACAGCCCCCAGCACAGAATCTTTCCACGTCGTCCACCCCGCACTGGCTTTTGTAACTTCGTGTCTCACTAAAAGGCGGAGGCAAAGTGAAAACAACGAAAGCTTTCAGGTGGACCCCACCTCTGCTGCTTCGCCTCTGCTTCTTTCACCCACTCCCCCTCCCCTTTGAGGGCAATTTCGTAATTTCGTTGCCTTTCGTCTGGAGGTGGTTCATAGAACGACGACGTTCTCCCCAACGCCGACGGGCCCATCTTTTATTATCACGTCAGGTCAGCTTACCGTCAGACACCGTTAGATTGTTGTCCCGTCATCCCCCACTCATCTAGACCGTCCATCCTGTCTGCAGATTCGTGGGTCCCGAATCATGATCATATTCCTGCCTGTGACGAATTTTAAATGGGACTTGCTGTGATTGTAGCCTAACCTGGATACCAAAGCCAAGCACGCACACTGCTCGCACAGCAAAAACCAGCCTTTTATTTTTTTTTTCCTTGAAAAAAGACGTTGATAATAAAGCTTCACGCTGATGATGACCATTGTTCTTCTTCAGCCTCGCTTCGCCTTCACTCACTTTCTCCTTCTCGCCATGAAAATCTCTTGAAGAATATTGATATTGGAGGCTTGATTATCATCCATATCTTTCTTAGACTTCGAAAATGGTTTCTCTGGAGGATTCTCACTCCAACTCCAATCGTTTCCCTTTAACCCGAAGCTATTACTCTACTACCACTTCCGCCAACAATTCTTCATCCAGAATCCAGCGGCACACTGGAAGGTCTATGCGAACTATACGCTCGAATTTCTTCCAGGATGACCATAGCTGCTCCTTCACTACGGCCACCGAGAAATCTACTTGCCTGTCGGAAACCATGACCGATTCGGTCATCGATCTCAGGCTTGGCGAGCTCGCATCGAAGAACGACAAATCTGCGAAATCTTCTGCTACGGAGGAGGAGTTGCTTGATCTTTCTCAAGCTTTCAGTGATTTCTCGGCTTGTAGCAGTGATATTTCCGGGGAGCTGCAGAGGCTGGCGAGTTTGCCGTCGCCGGAGAATGTGCTGAAGGGTGGTGCTAGTGGCGAAGCAGACAAGGCGCCGGAGCCGGAGCCGTGCCTGGGGTTCCTGCAGAGAGAGAATTTCTCTACCGAGATTATTGAGAGTATTTCGCCGGAGGATCTTCAGCCGACGGTAAAGATCTGTATCGATGGGCTACAGTCACAGTCGGTTGCTGTGAAGCGATCTGCTGCTGCTAAGCTCAGGCTGCTGGCGAAGAATCGGGCGGATAATAGAGCTCTTATCGGCGAGTCTGGTGCGGTTCCCGCTTTGGTTCCCCTGCTTCGTTGCAGTGATCCGTGGACGCAGGAACACGCCGTGACGGCCTTGCTGAATCTCTCGCTGCACGAGGATAACAAGATGCTGATTACCAATGCAGGAGCTATTAAGTCACTGATTTATGTGCTCAAAACCGGAACAGAGACGTCGAAGCAGAACGCGGCATGTGCGCTTCTGAGCCTTGCTTTGGTTGAAGAAAACAAGAGTTCCATTGGGGCTAGTGGGGCAATACCACCGCTTGTTTCCTTGCTATTGAGTGGTTCCAGCAGGGGAAAGAAGGACGCTCTGACGACGATGTATAAGCTCTGCTCTATAAAGCCAAACAAGGAGAGGGCGGTCAGCGCCGGAGCAGTGAAGCCTCTTGTGGAGATGGTGGCAGAGCAAGGAACGGGTATGGCTGAGAAGGCAATGGTTATACTTAGTAGCTTGGCCGCTATTCCGGAAGGGAAGGAAGCAATTGTTGAAGAAGGAGGAATAGCTGCTCTTGTTGAGGCGATTGAAGATGGCTCTGTGAAGGGAAAGGAATTTGCTGTTTTGACACTTCTACAGCTATGTGCTGACAGTGTGAGGAATAGAGGGTTGCTTGTGAGGGAGGGCGGAATACCCCCTCTGGTTGCTCTTTCTCAGACCGGAAGTGTTAAAGCTAAGCACAAGGTGAGTTGCTGATAACATTACAATTACAAATTAAGATAATAACCTGGATAATTTGAGTGTTCAGTCAGTGTTTGTTTCTTTGAAATCCGATATAGCCCCTGATATATGGTGCGATTGTGTTATTCTGGGGCCTTGGGAGTTTGCTAAGCTTCCTATGATGATAAGGATTACATGGTCGGTTGTCAGAAAATAAGATTAATGTCTACTTTCAAGTGCTATAAGGTGACTACAAACAATTAGCTTGCTAGATAACTTTCATGCCAGTGGCAAAAGCTTCGATCATTTGAGCAAATTTAGAACAGGAAAGAGTAACCTACTCATGATAATTTGCCTTGGAGAAGATTTAATCTTGAAGAATTTGGGGACTACTTGTAATCACAATATTATTGTGTTTTGATTGAAAACTTGAGGTTATTGAAACTTCGCTTCTTACAATATAGGCTTATGCATTATCCTGCGAGTGACGGCTGGGCTGCACAATATTTTGTTTCACCAATATGCTTTCTCTATGTTTCGTGATTTATATCCTGGATATCAGAAGTATTCTTTTTCCATCTTTGTTGAATTTTCTGGTTGGTTTTGCAGGCAGAAACGCTTCTTGGATATCTGAGAGAATCAAGACAAGAAGCATCCACTTCAAGTCCTTAGAGAATTAGTTACTGCCTAGGAAGGTAATTATACCATGTAATTGTTTTTTTTTTGTATATATAGTGGTTCTTATTATTTGTACAGGGTAGCGAAATTAGATGTGTGTTGAAGCTAGAGGAAGTTGGCGGGCAGTAGACTGACCCTTAGATGTGTGGATTTAGCTAGGTTTTGGTATTTTGCTTTCCCCTATTCAATTCGTTATGTTCTCGCGATTTCCATGGTTGTCTCTGGGTTTGGGTTGATTCGATGAGATTTGGGTAACTTTCTTATATAATGTTTGATGACCCTAGTTTTGTGTAAAAGGGTTACTGATTGTATGTCTTATTGTTGCCGAAGTGAAGGTGGTTTTTGTACTCCACGGGATATGTATGTGTGGCAGTCCATAATTTTTTGCTTGGACGAAATGGAACTTTAATTTCGTATCTGTGATACTTCCCAACTCCCAAATGTTTTCTATATCCGGGCTACGAAAGAACCCACTCTGTTTCCATTTGAATTTATTCTTCACCTCTTGTGATATAACACATTAACAGTCACCTGAAGGGTTGTGTATTTTTGACGATATATCAGTGTGTGCAGAAGTACACATCAATTTTCGTACCGGCGAATTCTTTATTCCTTGCTTGTTTGCCAGGAAAAGTTTGGGGATGTAAATCTTGAATCTTTCCTTGTTGTCACCGGCACGTGATTATCAAGATTGAGAAATCCTCAAGTGCACTCCCTCTTGTAGTATTTAGCCAATTAGAGTCCGATCAAAACAGCTGTAGATTCTCAATTTGTACCACCGCTTTTATGATTCATTATTATTATTGGCTTCTGCTACGTGTTTTTGGTTCCTGAAAAATCGTGTCATGATTGTCAGCAGAAATTGAAGAAAACTAAGAATGGCATAATCGGGAAGCCAGCATACTGACCCAGAATTCTCTATCATAAAGAGGTGAAATCAAAATAACAATAAAAAGAGTCTAGATTTTGAAGGAAAAAAATTCTTGGACGAAAACGTTTAGGAGAAAGTAGATGCTTTGTCAAATATAAGCTAGCCGTGCCCGAAGTCTGGAGCCGCTGGAAGAAAATCCCGAGTCTTATGAAAATTCTGATTTCTCTCTGTTCTGCCGCCTGGCTTAAAGTTGTTCAAACTTCAAAGGGATAGAATACTCGAAGATAAGTAGGGCAGCGCAGGGCACAAATTGGTGAAAGTGAAAAACTTTTCAAAGTGGATTAGACCTATAAAGATGCAGTCAAAATAAATGTGTGTAATATATATATATATTAAACTAATAACACACATCCATCATCCGTGAATGAGATTAACATAGCCATTTTAATTAAGAGAATGCAATGAACCAGAATAAAATGATGATGGGGGCGTAGGGTCCACCCAGCTGCGTTGTCATTGTTGGAAAGGGGCTAACCCAATGCATGCTTGTTCACCCAATTTGCAAATGCTATTTCGGTAATCACAGCCAAACAGAAAACAGAGCCCCACAGCTTGCAGGTCAACCCCACCCCCCATAACATTGCATCATCTTTGGACATACTCTCTCTCTCTCTCTGAGCCTTATGTCAGCTCATATCACTGTCCTCATTTTTAAAGTTTTGGGTGTCTCCTTCTTTCAAATCTTCTCTGCTTTGTCTTCCCTAATAATAATAATAACAACAACTACATAGCTGGCGGAGCAGGTATGGCTTTGTCCTCCTCCTCCTCCTCGGCTTTTGTTTAGATTGTTGCACTTTCAAATCCATCAAGTTTGAATAAAAACTTGCGTCGGTGGCCTTTATCTATCATCTATCATTACTCATCATGCACTTCAAAAGCTATTTGTGTTTCTGTACATGTATTGATTGATGCTTGCATCTAAAGGTCTAGCTGTTTTGGTTAGTGCCAGTGGTACTGGTACTAGTTTTTTTCCCTTCTCTTTAAAGCCAAATAAATTAAACGTTTTAGCTTGCTGTTGCTGGGGTCATCATCCATTGTACTGGAATCAGGGTTGAATGTGGATTAAGTTTAGTCCACTTTTACTTATTCAATTAATTTCAAACTTTGAAAAGGGAAAAGAAAAAGACCTTTGGCTCGATTAATCCAAGATTCCTCTGCTTTCTTAAAAAGAAGAACATGACGTAATTTAAATGGACCATTCCGTGCAATCTACTGCATTGAAATTATTTTTAATGAAGTTTTTTTTTTTTTTTGGGTTACCCATTCACAAGAATGATTAAAACTCTTGACTTTTCATCACACCCCATCCCAAATGGTTTGGATGAGCTTTTCTTGTGAATTTGCATTAAACAATATAGCATGCGAAGGAAAAATTTTTTTTGGAAGATATACTGAATTGTGAAAAGGTTTTACATAGCATACTTCTTATCAAAGAAATATATAACAGCGAACATTCAATTTGAATGTAAATGTTGTCCAAAAAGAGGGAGAAATGTCAGATCTTATATGTTGAGAAGATCTGATGTCCCCTCCATAACTAATCCATGGGCATCGCAGCCTTAGTTTACATTTTGCAAAGAATTTGCCAGCAAGACAATGAGCACTTAACCTGTGTAATTCTTCAAACTAAAGACAGATTGGAAATTCTTAGAAGCAATACATATACTAATTAATAATATAGAAGATGACAAGAACAAGTAAACAAAAATATTCCCCAGGTAGACATTCTGTGATTCTGACATTCTTTGAGGACCTTTCCTCTAGGTAATCCATTTGGCCCAAGTCCGCCCTCATCTTCTAAAGAGTCGCCACGTCACTGATGAAAAATGCGAAAAGAATGGTTGTCAAGAATGGGATTCGAACCCATGCCCTTTCGGACCAGTACCTGAAACTGGCGCCTTAGACCAACTCGGCCATCTTGACTTTGGATGTCAAGTGGACCATGTTTATTTAAATATCTGTAAGATAAAAGCAACACAACACAGATCCATTTATTCTGCTTGATTAAGAATTTACTTGAGTGCATCAATTTTATCACGTATTTTTATAAACAAATGACGAGAGATAGAGATTATAAAGTAGTCATCATTTTAAAATTATTTTTAACTTTTGGGCAAAACACTTTTGCTATTTAGATTTCCATTTACTTAACAAAAAAGTCATCACTGGTTATGGATAAATATACATGTCCAAATAGTATATAAATTATTTTTCTTTCTGATGAGAAGGAATGAATATTTACTCTAGATATTTCAACTTCCTTATATGTGGTGAAGCATTGTTTACTTGTGTAGACGAAGACTAACGACATATTTTCTGCAGATCAATTTCATATTTTATTATTATTTTCATGGACTGGTGGGAAAAATGTATTAATAAATTGTTTAAAACCAATGGATACCCTTTTCAAAACTGAAGGAATCTACTTTTTATCTTAAAAAAAACTGCTAACCAAATAAGTTCTGAATAAGAAAATAAAGGGTATGTTTCAAAATAAAATAAATAAATGTTGCTGTTTCCAAATAAAATAAAACAAAAACTTTATGTCGTACATGAGTTCTTGAGAGAGACACAAGCATTATGGATACTTGACAGGAATGCACCAGTATGAACAATCTCATGGTTCATAAATGAAGTTTATGGTATACGGGCAAGAGAAGAGTAATACAGAAAGATGTATCAGCAAACTTGTTCTTTATAAAACCCAGATGAACATCCATTGATAATATCACACTTGATAAATCAACAAAGTAATTCTTACAGTCTGTGAAATCAAAAGACTGAACAGGTGAAAAGAAAAACAAAATAACATACTGACCAGCACTGTCAACAATTAATGACTCAAATCTACAGCCAAAGGAGAGGGAAGGAAAGAAGGAAGAAAGGATTGAGAAGCGGAAGGAAAAAAAAGAAGAGAGAGGTCTGCTAGTTCTATGTATTGCTCTGTCAATGGAGATGAGCATCTTTATGGCAATTCTAACAAACTCCATAACCTCTGATTATACATATCAAACCACAAGAAAGGAAAACCTATGTTCCACTCAAGCGCGACCCTTGAAAGTGAAGCACCTGTCAGTGCTTCGTATTGGTAATCTCTTCGTAACAGGCAAGCTGATTAGCTCTAATGAAGTTTTAGAAGAACTAAAGTATCTCAAAGAAGAAAAAGGAAAGACACAGTCATGCTTTCCATGTTCAGTCACCCTCTGCACCAGACATTCTTCGTCACTGTAACATCTACACATCCTTCCCGTAATCTTCCTATGCAGCAATTCCTGAGGAAAAATGTGTTTGCAAGAATGTGAATAACTTTGTTTTGCCATTTATTCAAACTCATAGAAAGAAAGACGTACATGATAAAGTGTCCAGTATAGTATTAAAGGGTGACAGCAAGCCATCACCAGAAACTTGCTTATACCAATTTGAATTGCCAGTCAGATTCCATTTAACAATCTCTAGTCTGTCTCTTGCACTCAGCAAGTTTGACAGAGTCTGAACCCAAAATTTATTATTTTGAAAATTGTGATTATGAAGCACAGGTTTAGGCAAATATGTGAGCTACTATTATCCTGAAATGGTTAAATATCTCCTCAGAACCAGCATTCAACCAATGGCCAAATATGCAGATCACTAGGATCACAGAAATATAATTTTTAGCGTCCATTACTAAAAGAACAAAGCAGAATCTATGAGAAGAAAAAAGATAAAACAATGTTGAACTTCTATGGATACTTGCCTCTTGGAGCCAAAATCAGTTCCCCACTTCTAAACATGACTTAATTAGCTATGCCATGAAAAGTAAAGAACTTTAAAAGAACAGTAAAGAAATTTTAGTACATCGATATCGAACACATAGTACTTACCTCTATTTGATTGTCTATTAGCAACAGCATAAGCCCCAATGTGGCCACCAGAGCTTTTGCTTATCAAATCTGAAACAGCATTTCCAAGGTCATAACCAAGAGAACCAGTATCTTCTAGTTCTGAAGGTGACGAGCTCCAGGTGGGGTCACCAAAAAATGACCCAGCTTCGTAAATTTCTTTATATGCCCCATCAAAACTGCCATTGGATAGAGCATAAGATGATACTGATTCAGCAATGGCATCACTACCTTTTCCATATCCTACTGCTTTTTGCCTAAAATTAACATCTCCAGGGCCATAGTTAAGAGGGCCCTTACCATAGCCAGAGCCAACAGTTCCAGCTTGATCTGCACTAGGGGAGGAACTCCACAGTGTTCCAATATCACCAAAAGAACCCATGCCTGAATTTTGACCTCCATACCCGTGAAAACCATTAGAATTTGTAGGATTACTAGCAAAGCTAATATTCTCGTTCCCCCACAAATTCTGATTTGTTGAATTGTTTCCTACACTTGCACCAGTATACCCCATGACACTATGGTACCTGCTTGAATTTCCATTGTATGAAGGGTTCAAAGCCCGTCCTAGCATAAGGGAAGAAGTTAAGTTTGAATTTCCATTTTGACTAAATGCTGGTTCAA